TATGTCTTTGCGAGCAATACCGTCAGGCGACTGTGATGCATCTACAACTGCGCTCGACGAAGGCTCTCGACCATCTGACGGGGGTTGCCGCTCGTGCTCAGCATCGTCTGTACATACAGCCTGTTGGACAGACCTGATTGCGACATCAGCCGCAGCAGAATTCGAGCACTTTCGACTCACTGCCGTGGATGTGTTGCGAGTCTCGTAGCAGGCTCGAGAGCCCCTCTGCTTCTCTTGCAGGCATGTGCGCTGGCACTGCCACTGGCTCGATCGTCTTCGCAAACGCGCTGTAGAGCGGATCGCCCAGATCAGCATACGGATGAGCTTTGACCAGTCCGAGCGAAGCTGGCAGAGCAGGCGATTGCCAGGGTGTTTCGAGCGTCGAGATTGCACCGAGTAGCGCACCATTGACCTGCAACACGCAAATCATCAGAATCGCGCAGAGTAGAGCCAAGTAAGCTGACAATGGATCTTTGACCGGCAAAGAGCTCGAGCAATAGCCTAGGTATCGACAGAGCATAGGCCTCGAGTGGTTTATTGGTAGTGTCCTTGTATGCAGATGTGCGGAACAAGGCTTGTACGCTATCTACCGCGATGAGTATGGGGACGCTGCTCTGCGAGTCAGCAGAGTCACAGCAAGATGAGGCGAGCATACCTGGACTGCTTCGTGACGGCAGCAAAGACACGATCGAGCGCATCTACTGCTGCTTGACCGCCCTTGTCCGCTCCTTGCTTCGCGATGGAGAGTAGCTGCTTGCCGTCTGGTGTGCCGGTGAGAAGACTCTCGTTGACGCTGGCGAAGCTGCGCAGTATGCTGGCCGACAACGTCGGCTGCACGAACATTTTGGCTTCCCTCGAGTATGTGTATGGCGAAGAAGCGTCGACGAGCTTCACAGCTACGGAGTAATTCAATGCTATCAGACTGCACGCTGTCCCCAAGAGGCAGTGATAATTTACCGTTGGGTATATACAGGATTGCCCAGGTTGGCTTGAGGAGCGTCATGATCTGCAGCATCGTCATTGACTTGCCACTGCCCGAATCGCCCACTGGAGGCATGCCTTCAGTGCCATCGCATGGCATGTCAAGTAACGTACCTAGGATGACACGATGCTTGGCTGAAGACTGCCCAGCAGCGTTGTCGAGTCGCGTGTGCAGGTTGACCGTCGAGGCTCGGAGAACACTCGCTGGCTCAGTCGTGTACTGGAAGTGATCTGCAAGCGAAGCGGGTATGCCAAAGCTGCCAAAGAGGGACGTCGCCTCTGCAGGGAAGCGATGCGGCCTGCCAATTGCAGTCTCCGTTGCATTGCTCTGTTCGAGGGCGCCGATCAGCGCAGTCCGCGCCTGAGGTGGAGAGCACAGGTACAGCTGAGAGGAACGGGAGGTGGCTCAATGTGACTGCTGGCTTGACGAGCGATTGATCGAGCAAGAAGCGAGAGCCACCACTCGCTGCACCTCCCTGCTCATCGTGACACGTCGTTTGAGCATACCTTTGCAGATATGTACGCCAGACGAACCTCTCTGGCAGGCGCAGAGCCTTTTGCACCGCCCTTGAAGCCGACGGACTTGCCCTTCTGACTGCCTGAATGCAGAGCCATATGAGCGCAGGGCGGTAGAATCAATGGCTCAACAAACCCTGCGCTTTCTGAGCGGCTGTTGAGCGCGCAGAGGTCGAGATCGTGCGCCGAGCTGGCTCAGCTGTTCGCTGCAGAGAGCGTGCTTCTTGGCAGACACGGCACAGGCCGTTTCGAGTGAGCATAGTGACGCCCAAGCCTCTCAAATCGAGAGCCAGCAAATGTCGCGTGCATCCATGAAAATGACGCAGAGGCAGGCGAGGACTCAGTCCGGCTCCTCATATGTAGCTCGCAATGCCTCACTCTCATCCTCAGTCACTGTTCTTTGACTCATTCTCGCGATGCAGCTCGGCAATTGGACCGCAAAAGCGCGGCATGCTCACCACTTGTCTCATTAAAAGGACAGGCACTATCGCATGCTACACGCAAGAACGTTCGAGCCAATGCCCAGGCTGCGCGGCCTTGCAATGCATCAAATACGACGCAATCAATCTGAGCTCTCTGACTCGCCAGTGTTGCCCTCACCGTCGTTCTTGCCTTTCTCTTCTCCGTCACCTGTTTTTTGTTTTTTTGCTCGCTCGTCAATTTGTCGCAACGCCGTGTGATGTGTGCGTACCTTTCTTAGGATCCATTGGAGGTGGTGGGGGGTGTGGAGGACCGCATCCGGGAGGGGGCGGCGGTGGCGGGGGCTTACAGCCTTCGGGCAAGTGCATGTCTATAACCATATTGTCAGTTCAGCCGCTTGCACAACCAGAAGTGACCCTCGCCCTTCAATTCCTTCGGCCCGGGGCAAAGCTTGCCGTCAGTACCTCTCTCTGGCAGTGGACATCCTTCAGGCACCTTCATGTCTGTCAAATTACCCAGCCGTTCAGCTCCTCATCTCATGAGCTCAGTCAGACCAACCTTGCATATCTGGCATCGGCTTCGGGCAAGGGTTGCCCTTGACGTCCCTAGGCGGCATCGGTCTCGGAGGACAGGGCTTGCCGTCATCTCCAAATTTTGGTCCTTCGTCGGGCTTGCTCATGCCGCCATTGACCTTGGTAGGACCGCCGGTGCTCTTTTCTGGAGAGGCAGTCGAAGCGACAGTATCATTGCCTGTACCTCGACCGTCCTGAACAGCTTGAGGGGCCGCGAAAGCCGATGTGGCAAGCAAGCAAGCTCCGTAAACAACGAAGAGAGACAGTCTCATTGTCGATGCACAAGTCACGAGACCTCATGCTTATATAGCTACCTCTCCATCAGGCTCCTGATAGCACACTCGTGCGTGAAGTCACACGCCACAGTGCGCTCGTATGATGACAGAGGCTCTGTGCGCACTTAGTGTCGCGCCAGACTGAAGCTCGACTTTCGGCCAAGACGGAAGTTTATGTGGTCTATGTATGCATAGACCTTTTGTACAAGCGTTCTGTAGATTCGCGCTAAAGATTACAGAAATTTGGGATCAAGCCCGAGCAACGCCCTGCATCGCTCGGCTTCTCTTTGCCATTTATGAGTCCTTTCAATCTGTTGACGAAGCTGGGCTTGCAAGTCATCGATCGTCGCGTTAAGAGAGTCCAGAGTCTCCTTCTTGCGCAACCTCGACTTTCGAGCTGCCTCGGTATTTTTGAGCCTTTTGGCCTCCACCACCGACAGGTCGTATTCGTCCAGGTCGAGCGAGCCAGAAAGCGATTCGTTGCTACTCATTACAGACGAGGCACGACTTTTGCGAGCGGCTTTCTGCATCGCTTTGGGGATGATCTTGCGAGACGTCCTGCTCGGCAAGACGTAAGAGCGTGCTTTTACAGGCTCGCCGATGTCGAGCAAAGGGGCGGAAGTGTGACGTGTGCCCGTGGGTGCCTTACGCTTGCGGCCGCGAGGTTCGACAGGGGTAGTGGGCTGGGCATCTTCTTGCTCTTCGGCTTCATCCTCGGCCACCGGTGGCAGAGTAGGAGCAGCAATGGAAAGCTCGAACGGACTCACGGTCCAAGCCTGAGCGTCGTCGTCGCCGTTGACTTGAGTCGAGGCAGGCAGCTCAGAGGAGGTCTGATCGGCAGACGAGAGTCGTTGTTCGAGTACAAAGGGGGAAGAAGGCGCATCTTGTGGCCAGACAAAGGACACGTAAGGTGACACGTGGTCAGCTTCGAGCTCTGGCAGGGGTGAGGGTGCGAGCGACTCTGAATCTTCAGACGAGCTTCGAGTGGAGAGATCCATCTGGAACGCTGTCTGATACTCGAGAGGCTCCTCCTTGGCAGTAAGTTCGCCGAGCTGCACGAGCAAGGGCGCTGGAGTGGGCGAGTGCATGAGCGAGTGCTCTTGTTCGTAGTGAGACCAGAGAGACTCACAATAGGCGGCTAGGCCTTGTTCGGTAAGGTACTCCATAGAAGTAGGAGTGGGATAGATCCAACTGGACGAGTAAGGTACTTGGTATTGACAGTGATAGACGGGTGGTGCCAAGTGCGAGACCGGCAAGGTGCTATCCGTCAAAGGAAAAACGTGTTCGTGGCCCGCAACAACACTGGAGAAGTGGTTGGGGCCCTCGACAACACTGGAGAAGCTCTGTAGGCTCCTGTTGCTGCTGACTTTGTTGTTGTAAGCGAGACTGTCGTTGGCGTTGGCAGCAGTCCTGTTTTGGTTGTGATTGTTGCTGAGATGCTCTAAGGCGGGCACATTGTGATGGGATGATAGAGGAGACCATCTTGACGTTGTAGGCGAGTACTGAGGCTCTGGCAAACGAGCAAGTCGTGTTTGACCGAGTGTGGACGGGGAGGTCGAGGGTCGACTTAGGCGCGGAAGAAGGCCATGACTGGTATTGTTGTGGTAAGCGGGTGCAGTCGATCCGACTATGGTGTTCTTCTACGCTGACCTGGACGAAGCTCTTCTGATGTCGCTTCTCTGTCGTCTTCTTCGTGTGCAAGAGGATGGAAGAGCAGGCCGACTTCACGCTACTTTAAACGCGGCCAGCGCAAAGCCCGCGCAGATATGACTCGAACTTGAAGCTGCACAAACCACACGATATCGCTGTGATCGACGGGCTGAACTCTATCCAGGCCGTCCGGTGGCTTTCTGATTATTCAGCAGGCAGGCCGCAAATCTCTCACGCGACGTAGCCTACGCCAACGCGACAGCTCGACCGACGGGGATCACCATCGCCGGGGCACTGTAGGATCAGCGCAACGAGTGAGCTGCATGGAAAGGGTTGCGATGGAACGAGCTGCACGCTCGGCGAGCAATTGGAACTCGCTGCTGCTGGAGGCACGCGCACAGAGGATGGGTCAGCTGCCGACATGGGACTTTGGCACCGGCAGATTCCAGGTCGATCAAGGCTCGCGGGAGTACTACTCGGACGCGCACAAGTAGGCATCGTCTCCGCCCACGGTGGTTCCTGCTGATTCAGGAGGACCAGCCAAGCGATGAAGAAGGAACAGCATATGCATGGCAGCGATAAGCGCGCTCGCTATTGAATGCTATTGATAAGTGGAACGCAATAACGGCAGCGTCAGAGGACCGCCTTGCATAAGCGGCGCCTCTCGATAGTCTCGGTGGTGCAGGTCGGGCAGAGTGGGCGCCATCGACGACATGACGTCGTCATACCGTTCGTCATAGGCTGGCGCTCGCGGTGGTGCCAGCCTGGACCAATGCTGAGGCGGTGGTTGCATGAATCCAGGCGGTCGAATAGGCGACGGCGGACGGGGCGGTCTTTGCCTTGCTCGAGGCTCAATAATGAATCCCATTGCTCGGAGATCCTCCTCATTTTGCTGCGTGCTGAGCTCGGCTATCGTGAAATGGTCGGACTCCCTGAAGCTCTCGGGAAGCTCGAGGTCTGGCATGGGCATCAGTCGAGGATAGCTCGGCCCATGTTGCTGAAGAATCTGCTCTGTTGGCATGTCAAAGGGCCGCTCTATTGATCGCTTCTCACGATCTAGCTTCCTGCGTTTGCCATTGACATGTTGCAGCAATGCACGCTTGAGCTCAGCGCGTTTATCCTGGAGGCCCTGATGAGCAAGGCTCGGGTATGGCAGACATGTGACCCACCGACCACCAAGTCCAAACAGCGCGCTCAGAGGATTCTTGCTTGATGAGTTGCTCAGCTTCGCCCGCCTCTTGCCATCTTTGCGCGAGTTCTATTCGTCTCTCGCGCCGTGCACTGATTATCTTGTTTACGTGTGTCAGTTCTGGATGCGTGCCTGTCATCATGCCAGCCTGAGTTGGATGTGCGCCAGCGTGAGAGCGAAGACTGTACCCGAGTCTATAGCATCTCGCTCGAGCTTGACGTCGTGCATCCGCTCTACGTAGAGCTGGTCGCGCAGGCTTGCGAAATTGATCTCTATCTTGACGAGGTCCTCGATGGCTTCTAGCCTGACCCGCTGTAGCTGATCATCGCTCGCGTCTGTCGCGCACGCGTCAGTCAGGCTTTCCGGGTAGGACACGAGGCAGGCTTGCCATCTGGTTCGTCTTCTTCTTCTACTTCTTCCTCTTCGTCGCCCTCCGCTTCCTCTTGCGCATCGTCTTGCCCCGACGCATCTCTTTCGTCGGGCTCTTGCTCCTCATGATCGATGTCACTCGTGTCTGCCATGTGATCGAGCAAGAGTGTAGGCACAGGACCTGCAAGGCTGGGCTGACCCGCTCTGCCGGTGATGACAGGGCTACCCTCCTCGTCCGGCGAGGGAGATGCTGAGCTCGCGCTCAAACGTGAAGGTGCAGGCGCTAGTCTGTGCTTGCGACGTTGCTGGTGCTGCTTGGGCGGCGGGGGCTGCAGCCCGGCAGACTGAGCTCGCGAGGAAGCTCTCGAGCTACGCCCATGATCAGTCGCTGTCTCTTCCTGTGTCGCTGTCCTGCTTCGCTTGTTCGCTGTCCCGTTGAGCGCTCTCCTGGACTTGGGCGGCGCTCGTTTGGGTGGGCGTGGAGTAGCAGTTGCGAGCGGCTTGTCGCTCAGCTCAGACGAATCAGTGGCATCGATGAGGTCGAGCACAGGCAGCCTCGAGCTCTCGTCTGGCTTCGTCATCGAGGGAGAGGCAGGCGAGCTGGACCCGGAAGGCAAAGCTACCTGTGCCGGTTGAGGAGGTGCTCGCCGCCTGCCAGCTCGGCCGGCTGGCTTGACCGGCATAGGCGCAGGCGTTGGCTCTCGATCAGACTCCTCCTGCTCCTCCTCTTCTTCTTCTTCCTCCTCCTCCTCCTCCTCCTCCTCCTCCTCCTCGTCGTCCTGCTCCTGCTCAGCTACCTCTTGCGGTACAGCTATGACATGATTGTCGCCGTCTCCACCGCCCTGTGAGCCATCTGAGCTTGACCCTTCTCGAGCTAGACCAGCTGTCAGCTCGGCAGGCTCCTCATCAGGCAGAGGCAGCGTCGAGGCTGCAGACAGCGGCGACTCTGAGCCCTCCATCGAGCTCAGCCTGACGCCGGGCTCGCTCGTACTCGCTCGAGCTTGCGCGCCTCGACGACTTGCCGACTTGCCATCCGCTGTCAGCCCCTCTGTGAGCGCTCTGCCGGCTCGCACGATGTCAGATGGAGAGGCAGACGACAGCACGGGTCCCCTCGCACACCGAGCCGACACTTCAGCAGAGAGCAACGACCCTTGGACACGTTCGGCAGGCCCGAGCCAGTCTGACGCCGCCGAGCTTTACTCGGGCTATCCTGTGACGCCGACGCCCGACAGGGAGAGCTACGACCCGCTCGCTGCTTGGGAGACCGACGATAGCTCGGGTGATCCGGGCAAGGTCACCGTCGTACTCGAGGATGACCTTCAAGGGTCCTGGCTCGGGAAATATCAAGTCTACCGGCTCACTCGCTCGACGACGGGCCAAATCATCCGAAGGCGGTACTCCGACTTTGCCTGGCTCAACGACTGCCTGCTCGCGAGGTACCCGTTCAGATTGCTGCCCAGCCTGCCCCCCAAGAGACTCGCTGTCTCTGGCACCCAGCTCGCGACTGATCAGGCATTCATGGACAAGCGCCGCCGCGGTCTCCAGCGCTACAGTAACGCCGCACTCGCCCATCCCGTCCTCAGGAGGGACGGCTTGCTCCAGACCTTTTTCTCCACCGAAGTGGCCGATCTTGCAGCCTGGCGAAAGAGTACGCCTTTCACACTGCAAGAGGAATCCGTAGAGCGCCCCCTTGCAGCCGGCACGAGGGAGGAGAGCGTTCCCACCGATCTCGATGACCGTCTGGCTGCACTCAAGTCTGTCTTGCCTGGCCTCTTGGCTGCATGGACGCGCGTCATGGCTGCTCTCGAGACGCTCGCGGCACAACAGCGAGCCGAAATGGCCGAACAGACCAAGGCAGAGGAAGGCCTCCGCGCTACACTAGACGCTCTGCGGTCAGACGAATTAGCCGCCAACGTCAGCCAACCACTGCTACAGCCGGTCAGCACGCCCATACTCGCACTGGCCGATGCGCTCGGTGCAAGCGCGCAAGTCACCACCGATCACTTGCACAGACAGACGGAAGAAGCGCTACAGAACCTGAAAGCCCACAGAGAGCTCTTCACAGGCTTCCGCCTCTTGCTCTTGCGTCAGGATAGACTCTCGCCCGACAACGTTGCGACCCTGAAGCGGCAGATTGCCTGGGCGACGAAGAGGTACATCTTCACGCAATGTCACCCACTAGCTGAGCTGATACGATACGTCAGATCGCAAAAGGCGCAAGAGCAGCGAAAGCCAGGCTACGAAGCAGAGACGCAAAAGTATTACGACATCATCGAAAAGGACCAGAAGACCATCGATGTCCTCCTCAAGCGACGGATCTACATTCGCTTCTGCATGTGGCAAGAGATACTCTACCTCTTCAGGCGAGTCGCGCTCGTCGGAGACTCAGTCAAGCCGATGGCATCGCTCAATCACGCACTTTACGAACGACTGACGGCCATCTACGGTCAAATCGAGAATGCATTCTAGCGATTCATCGCTTCCACCCGCCCGTGGAGAGTGAGTCTGGAACGGCACCGTGACATGTGCCGCCTTCCTTCGTGCTCGCTGTCAGCTCGATGACGATCGTGCTGTTCTTGACGAAGACGTCGCGGAAATCGACGAAGCATGTCGAAGGCTGAGCTTGTCCGTTGATCGTTATCGATCTGACATACAGTTTCGCGTCCACCGGTGGTGGGTTCATGAGGGTCCTTGGGTCGTATCCGGTCACGCTGAACGTCGCTTTACTGTTTGTGCCCGCGTTGGTGATGTTGAAGGAGGGAAGAGAGGGGCTGCCAAGCAGCATTTGTGTCGTGCCGGGTACCGGGAACATGCCCAGTCTTCAACGCGGGATCAGCACGAATGATGACACTGACAGTAAAGCCTCACAAATGGAATATAAGTAAAGTTGCCATTGCTGCCTGATCGTCATTGCCGGGCAGACCGTCTTTGCCGATGCCGAAGCTCTGGGCGACAATCTTGCGCACTGCTTTGATGGACAGGTCAGGTCTGTCCACGTAATGATACGCTAGCGGTGTAGCAAAGCTGGGCTCGTTCGACGGGTCGAAGAGACCTTGGTCAAAAAAGTAATCTAGACGACGGATGAACTCGGTCCGATTGCCTTGTGCTGTCAAGTCGATCAAACCAGCCATATCATGCGGCGCAAAGAAAGAGTACTCCCAAGAGCTGGCCTCGTAGAACCCATCACTTGTGCCTTGCTGCAATGAGCACGATCGGGTCGCGTTGGTATCGAGTGGTGAGCAGATACGAGGGTCGCGCAGAATAAATGATCCATTGGGCAGCCGCTGTTGTGCAAAGCCAGTGAACCCGTCGAAGCTCGCATTGACAAAGACATTGCGATAATATAGTGAGCGCTGGAAGTAAAAGTCTGCTCGGTCTGGATTGCCTTGAGCCCGGGCAGCTGTAGCCACCGTAAAGTCATTGAACGCATACTCTAGAGTGCGCGAGACCTGTCGAGTCTGAACGCCGCTATTGCCGTCGACCAGTGCGTTGGTCGGGATATAGCCATACTGCTCATAAAGATCGTTCTCTCGACCGCCACCAGCAATCCATTGCTTCGGCGTATTCGTTGCGTCTGCATCAAGCGCAGACATGACCTCTTGGCCATCGACGCTGAAGGAGGAGCCATATTTGACCACCCAATCCGAAAGGATCGGCTCTGCATCACTACCCCCTTGCGCATATCCAGGAAGCTGTTCGCCGCGAGCATCTTCGATATAGCCAAAGCGCTGGAAACCATCGAGATAGGTCCCGACAAGCTCGCCTAGATCTTGAGGTGAGTGAAGCGACAGCCACGGGGTCGCAGTGCGAAAGGTGTCCCAACTAGAGTAGCGATCAGCTCGTAGGACCCACGAAGAAGAGCTGACGTACGATGTATAGATGTCATCGAAGAACGGCCGGTTCGAGGGTGGGTCTGCAAATCTGCCGACGCGCTCTCCGGTAGCATTGCTAGGCGTGAGGAACGAACGGTAGGAAGAGCTGTAGAGCATCTTCGTTACATTGATGCTGGTCTTGTCGACGTCGACCTCGAGTCTCGAGAGCTTCTCATTCCACAATGCTCGCGATTTGCTGAGCACAGTGTCAAAGTCATCCTGGCCGATCTCCTGATCTGCGTTGGCGCAGGCCTGCTCTTCCGATACGAAAGAGACACCGACACGAATGCTGTGCTGTGCCGATGTGTCTAGCTCAAGCAAAGCGCCGGACTGAAGCTGCTCGCCCTGTGGATCAGGCAAAGTCAAAGACGTCTTGTTGATGGCCTTTGCGTTGAGATCATAGCCATCGCCGGTCCAGACACCATACTGGGTGACTTTCCCGACATCGTAGCATGCGTACACGGAGTACGTAGCATCCCTTGGCCCGAAGGAAGGCTTGAAGAAACCGCCCGCTGTGACGCGCCCGGCAACAGGGTCAATAGTCATGTTGCCACCACTGAAGCCATTTGCAGAATCGTGTGACAGGTCAATGCTGAGCCAGGATCGAGAGCTAGCAGGATAAGTGATGCGCTCGAGACCCGCCCGACGGGTCGAAGTGGCCTCAAAGCGGATGCCATCGTCGAGCGTGAGCGCAAAGTAACCAGGCGAGGCCTTGTCTTTGCCAGCCTGACGAAGCCTTGAGCGATCAGCAATCCTCGTAGTGCAAGTCTCGAAAGAGGCGCAGATCATAGGCATGACCTTGAAGGAAGCATACGAGCCATAGACGCCTCCGATGCCGGATGTATGGATGGGTGCAAAGCCCTCAATCGCGGCTGACATGTCGCCAATGTAGCCAGCGGGCGCATAGCCAGCCATATCAGCTGATATTTTGACGAGACCAAATGGTACAGATGCGCCCGGGCAGACATTGCCGGCGTTCGTTGTCCCGATAAAGGGGTCAACATAGGCCGTCCAATCGACGGCGCTGGCCAATGTCGCGACGGCCAGAAGGGCAAGAGAAGTGGAGGCCATGGCTCGATGAAGCGAGGACAGCGTCTGAGAGGCAGAGGTGGACGAAGAAACATGATGTTTCGGCAAAGAGCCCGTCTTCCAGAAGGGAGGCAATGTCTGTGCGGGCAATTCTGAGAGTCAGCCTATTCGCGAGAAATTCCAGGCGCAGAGCTCGGGCGTCATCCAACTTTGAAGTCACTGGGCGGCCAAGCGCTCGAGCGTCACGATGGCCAAAGCGAGGACGAAGCCCATCTTTGAGTCTGCCCGAGGTCGCCCAATACTACAAGATGTGGCACAGCTCATCCAGTCCGGGAAAGTGAAGCGAGTCTGTACCCTCACAGGAGCTGGCATCTCCACCAGCGCTGGCATTCCAGACTTTCGTTCCCCCAAGACTGGACTCTATGCAAACCTTGAAAAGTACAAGCTGCCGTATGCCGAGGCGGTGTTCGACATTGAGTACTTTGTCGACAAGCCGGAGCCTTTCTTTGCGCTCGCAAAGGAACTCTGGCCTGCCAATTATGAGCCAACACCGAGTCACTACTTCTTCAAGCTGCTCGAGGATCGCAAGCTCCTGCTGCGTGCTTTCACGCAAAACATCGACACGCTCGAACGGAGAGCGGGTGTGTCGGACGACAAGATTGTGGAAGCACATGGCAGCTTTGCCACCGCAACCTGCCTAAAGTGCCGCAAGAAGCATACTGCCGAGCAGATCAAGGATAGGATCATGCAAGGCCAGGTGCTGCGCTGTACAGAGACCTCTTGCAAAGGCAAGAAGCGCGCACTCATAAAGAGCGACATTGTTTTCTTCGGCGAGGCACTGCCCAGCCGGTTCCATCAGCGCATCAGCGATCTAGAGGACTGTGATCTCCTCATCGTCATGGGCACTTCCCTGACGGTACATCCCTTCGCAAGCCTCGTCAATGCTGTACCAGACGAATGTCCACGTGTCTTGATCAATCTCGAGGCCGTCGGCGAGATGGGGGATTTCAGTATGGGCACTATGGGCATGCAATATAGCGATGGCTTCGACTTTGACGGCCGCGCGCGAGGAGGGCCCGAGAAGGCGAGAGACGTGCTCTATCTTGGCAAATGCGATGATGGCGTCCGGGAGCTTGTCGAAGCACTCGGCTGGACTGTGGGTGCTCTCTTCTCGACACCTTGCTCTGTTGATAGGGGTGTAGGACGATTTTGAAAAATTGTGTGATGCGAACAAACGCAGTAGAGCGCAAGGAAGCCTCACGTCGGCAGAGGGCAAAGCAGACGAGGTCTCAAAGGAAGTGGCAGACCTGACGGGCGCGCTGGACGCGACCAAGTTGGACGAGCCAGACGCAGCACCGAAAGCGCATCATTGATTGTTGCTATGCATCTGTCTATGTATGTCTAATGTCTATTGAGAGTGTGCCGCCACGCGGCTTTTGTGAGATGATCTAGAGGAGGGTCTCGCCCAGGGCAGAGCGTGTCAGGCTACGCCCTACTTCCACCGTCTGCTTGACTGCATCCTTGTCGGCCAGCGAGGGGTTTACTTCCTGTATGTTAGGATCAAAAGGTCAACATGCCATATTCGTGCAGATGCAAGAGCACTAGCCATGATGTCTAAGCTGACGAGCAGGCCAGTCTCGGCAATCGCCTCGCAGATGTAGTGTCCCTCTCTGAAAGTCAGGCCACCACGAACGGGCGTGCCCGTGCTTGGCGCAACCGAGGGATCGAGTGCGTCAACATCGAAGCTGAGATGTATTGGTCGATCCCGGTTCGGATTGACGTGATCGAGTGCCATCTCTACGACTCTGCCGATACCATACTTGTCGACATCGTGCATGCTGTAAGCCTTGATCTCTGCGCACTAGCTTGAGCAAAGCTTGTGGGGCAGGACAGGATACGACGCACTTTGCTCGCGGAGGATGCGTCGTTCGCCTGCATCGATGTCCCGGAGACCGATGTAGACCAGTCTGTCTGCTTTGAGGACCGGCTTGATCCAACTGAACTCGGGTATGTCACATCCCTCGAGACCCAGGAGGAAGGAGACAGGACAGCCGTGCAAGTTGCCACTCTCCTGTTCGCGTTGAGTGAGCGTGCGTACATATGGCTGCCCGAATGCTTGCCGTTGTCAGAGGCGTATTGAGGTCCTGGAGCAGCGTCAGCAGGCTCAGTGAAGATAATGCCGGGCGGCTCACAGCATGGGCATCGATCCAGATCAAGCACGCGTCAGGATGAACGCGAAAAGTGCCAGACACGGTGGCCATCGCCTGTATAGCCACACGTTCAGCATGTATGTCTGCGCTCGGGATCGTGCACTAGCCAGCGAGTGATCTCCGCCGAGTGTGAGGGTGAGACGTCCAGCTCGAGCATTAGCTTCTATGGTGTCTGCAACGGTCTTATTGACGCGAGATCTGACGTAGTTTGCATGTGAGCTCTCCGGCCAGCAAGGGAGCGCTGTCAGACAGGACATACACGAGTCGAGGGCGTTTGAGAATGCCAATGGGCGGGTCATCCGCCTCTGAGTGCTCAAATTCTAGCTGACCGTCAAACACGATGCCATATCCAAGTCCCTGAAGACAGCATGAGCGGAATTCGGGTGTTCTGCAGGACTGCACACTTTGATATCGTCGAGCAGACCTGCCTCGATAAGCTGCAGCGGTCCTATGTCCACGCCGGCTTTCGGTTGTCCACCGCTGGCACAAACAATGTCTCATGAGCTTCAGAATATTGGCTTGAGATGGTTGTACGTGCCTGAAGGGACAGCCGATGATGCCGACATGGGCAGGCTGCTTGATGAACTTGAGCGCCTCGCCGGATGACATGCCCGTCGCTGAGAAGTGCGCCGAACAAACGACGCCAAACGCGTGCCAAAGAGACAAAGTACAGATCGATGATGACGATGACGCGCATGCTACAACATGGGGCAACTACACCTTGCCAAGAAGCCAACCCGGTGCCCATCCCCTCTGACCTGTAGCATCGTTGATCGCGAAGCTAAAGTGATTGTAGCGTTTGTAGACGTTCAGGCGTTCGCCTTTGACCAGACTGAGCTCGTCGTTGCCGCGAGATTTGTAGTCCATGAGTGCAATACTGGGCGTGGATTGAGAGACGATCGAGAGCGGGTTGATGACCGATGATGCACCGTTTGCCGAAGTGACCAGCGAGAGTGCAGAGACAGAGGTCTCGAGCAGGCAGCCAGCGGGAATCCAGGCAGACCGAGTCACGTCGACATCCGGCGAGTTTGACTCGCGATGCACGACCCACCATCCCTTGGTCTTGCTGAGGATCGCAAACGTATCGCCTACAGCCACATCGAGCTCGTCCTGTCACGACGACGTCATATCATCATCAGCGCCGTCTGCTGTGAAACGAGTGCAGCATACCTCACGCTCGGCCAGATATGGATAGATAGCGAGTGCATATCCGATGGCAGGCCTGCTGATAGACGCATCTTCGCTATAGCTGCCCTCTCGGCCCGGGCTGACCTGGCTTCTGCCGACGGGTTGCAGCACGGGCGGGTGGTGCAAGCGTGTGTTCCGAGTGTAATCCTTGTGAGCGGTAGCAGTCGAGGTCGTCGTTTGACCATCCTTGGCGCGCTTCTCCATCCGTGCAGCGTGTTTGGCAGCAGCGACTGCGATAGGTGACTTTATATCTCTGATGTGTCGCAATAGGAAGCACGGCTTCTGTCCACTCTCTTTGAGCTTCTGGAACAGCAACAGGGGTTTGTCGTCGTAAGACAGGCATTTTTCATTCGAGCCGTAGCAAATGAACAGTGCGTAGTCTCTCCAGTCGTCATTGATATTGTACTTCTTCAGTGCGGCGGGAAGTACGCGATAGCAGGGGTCCTCTAGAGTGACTTTGAACGATTTGTACGGATTATCGGCACTGCCAGAAGAAGAGGCAACGCTCTTGGCGCTCGAAGATAGCGGCTGCTGCACGTCTGGGCTGACGGCTGTCGTCGCGACGGAGGTGCGGCTACTCTGGCCTTGCTGATCGATCGAGAAGACGCTAGTGGCCGCAGATTGGGATCTTGCCGAATCAGAAAAGAAGGCGCCCGTGCTACTGGACGACGAGGCATGGCTATTCGCGGTCGTGGGCGTGCCCATGGAAGGCGTGAGCGGTCCCGTCGCTGACATTGGCAGCGGAGGCAGGATACGCTCGGGCGAATACGATGTCGTTGCAGGGCTGGACAGTAACGGGAGCAGCGCTGAAGATCCGGATGGACTCGAGCCGATGGCGGCGGTCGTCACGTTAGCGGTCGAGCTTGCTCTCGCATGTGTCAAAACGCGCTGAGCGACTGCCTGAGGTGGCGTAGGCACGGTAGTCGACTGTGAGCGTCCGTGAGCGGAGACACGGGATCCAGCCAGCTGTGGTGCTCGCGTTATGCTGCTGAGCTGCTGAGGAAACTGGAAACCGGTGGGCGACTTTGATGGACTCGAGCCTGGTCTCATAGAGGTTGCCGGATTGCTCGTGATCGTACGAGTGATCTGCTGCATCTCTTCGCGCAGTGCCTGCAGGGCATCGCCAAGTCTGACAATCTCCCTCTCCAAGGAGACGATCCGTTCATCGCGGTCGCTGATGAGTTCATAGACCCGCATGGGGGAGCTGAGACCGTCAAACAGGGCTGCATCATCGCTCGCAGCTGACTCGTCCTGATCGGCTGTGCAACACTTGCATCAGATGCATGCTTGTTCAGGCTCGAGCGTGCGCTCACATGGCGGGATCCAATGACCATCCTCGATTGGGATCTTGTCGCGCAGCTTGACGTTGTAGACTGCCTTGAGAATGGCAAGTCGTTGACCCTGCTCGAAGTATTAGCAGCAAACATGGTAGGCTCAGGATAGGCGTACGACCGAGTGTACGCCGATGTCCCTCAGAGCTTCGTGGTCGAGGTGGACCAGGATCTCGCCAGTGATGCCGTGCTCTGTCGGCGGTGAGCGCGGAGCGGATCCAGGCGTGCTCCTAGCTCACCATCTATCTGAGAGCCGAACTGACTGAGATTGAGTGAGCTGAGCCAAGCCTTGACGCCCTCCTCGTCCCATTCGAGGATGGGTTGCTGTACATGCCCATTCGCGCCATTCATCGCGAGTGACAGCGGGTCCGCTGCGCAGTCTCCTGGGATATGCTGCGGCCGCTCACTTCGAGGAGCTACCGGGGGTCTATCTGATTCGCATGCGACAATCTCAAGGCTGGGAAATTCGCAGGCACGCACGGCTTCAGAAATTACGCGACCAGGTCACGTTGCACCGCGTAGGATGAACAACAAGCTAGCGTCTCCGTCTGGACCACTGTGCATGTTTCTGTCTCCGTTCGCTATCGCAGATTGGACAGCCACAGCGCACGGTGTATAGGCCAGCGTGCCCGGCCTGCACGGGCTCGTTGGCGAAATGTCGAGGCAGACAAGCGAGGCAATACCGCCAGCAAGGATTTGAAAGCAGCAAGCACTGATCGATCGCGGCGACGCTGCTCGAGGTGACTGTGCTCGGTCGACCATGAGAAAGCTCTTCGACGTGATCGCCAGCGACAAAGTCTGATGAAGCAGAGCTAACAAAGCTTCTGCAGCACCTACATCGGTAGCTTTGTGAGACGCAATGTTGCAGATGGTCCGGCAGATCTGCGACCGACGCTCCGGTCTCTCGGAGCATGCCAGAAAGAATATCAACAAGGCTCGGTATGCGCTCCAGCTTCGAGGGTCCCGGTAGTGGCGGCAGAGAGTCACTACTGGCTTGCTTCTGAGTGATGTCCGTGCTTATCCTCCGGAGCTTCGGAAAGACCAGCACCGATGGCGGAACATCTGGCCAGCCACAGCGGTACAGGCGGACATGCTCCACATTCGGAAGTAGTTCCGCGAGCAGCTGAGCCGGCAAGTCATCGAGCCGACAGCCCTGCAAGCTGAGCGTACGCACGCTGACGGTCGACCAGTTGTACGGCATCGCTGTAGGCTGTGCGGCTGCATACCAGCTGGCAATGTCGGTAAAACGAACCAAAGTGTCCGGCAATTTGTTCACATTGACGAATTCGATAGACTGTGTGGGAACAGAGGTAAGCAGCTGCTTTTCGATAGCCAGTTGGATAGCCAGGTCGCAGGGAGAGCCGTCCAGATCGATCGGCTTGACTCCAGACGAAAGCGCGATCCCCCAGATGCTTGTTGTGCGCCGGACAGACCACTTCTGACGCAGCTTGACGAGCGCCAGTGCATCCTCGCTCTGTAATGACGCTTTGTAGGCCTGTGTTCTGAGTACCGGTCTTGCAAGGAGATCGTCGAGACGAGCAAGGAGTCGCCAGATGATAGGTGCGATATGTCTCGCCTCTTGTGGCTTGACACGTCGCTCGAGTGCTTTCAAGCTGGCGGAGAGGTAGATCCAGCGATCTGAAGGCCAGAAGAGGTGATCATGACGCTCATTCGTCACTGCATCGTGTGCGGCCGCAAAGGACAGAAAGGTCTTGTAGCCGGGTGTATCGTTTGTGGTCTCCTTGGCGAGCCGGCTCGACTGGGTCACGTCCTGGGTCACGTCTCCATCGGTGATGTCTGACAATGATTCATCAGAAGCCTCGCTGGAGACGCTGCTCATCACCCTGCCATGCTGACGGCAAGAGAATTCGAGTTACAAGGCGGAGCGCTGAGAGAGCGCGGCAAGGAGGGCAAGACCGCGGAAGATTGCATACGTGGCTGATAGTACGACATGTGTAAAGATCTACAGGAGGAGTCTGCTCTGGTCGGTGTGCAGGCGTTCAGACAGCATAGGCAGCCTCGAGCGCTTCCTTGCGAGAGCGCGAGGCAGGATCATAGTACGGCACTTCGCCGAGCGAGACTGCTCTGTCGCCTCCTCGAGGACCATCATAGTCGAAGGTGGCGCAGTGCTGTGTGCTCGTGTTGCTCCATCTGCGCAGAGAGCGTCAGTCTGTGTATCGCAGCACATCAACAGAAGACGTACATGGCAACGTCTGAGAGACCCCAGCGGTATCGCACTTGGATGTCGTGGTTGTCAGAGATGAGCCTGTACAGGTATTCGAGCACGATGTTGGACTCGTCCCGAGAGAGCTCATTGATCCGCTTGGTGAAGCTCTTGTTGACAAAGAGTCCTTTCAGGCCCGTGACAGGGTTGGTTCGGATGACCGGATGAGAGGCCGATAGATGGTCACCGACATTGAGCGGGTGGCCGCGTGCTTCCGTGCGAAGAGGGAAGCCGTAGCGACTGGCTTGCTCTTTAAACATGTCTGCATGATGCGTTGCAGTGCACCCTTCAAGCATCTGCGCCATCGCGGGCGAGAGCTTCTCATACGCGGCATACGAGCTTGCCCACAGGGTGTCGCCGCCCGTCGGAGGGAGCGTGTGCATCCTAAGAGCGGCAAAGTTGCTGGGAACAGGCTCAAACGAGATGTCGGTATGCCAGCCAGCCGAGGCGAAGTTGCTGCGCTCATCCGCAAATGAGATCTGTGCGCCGTTCGCTCTGAGTCGAAGCACGAGTCAGCGCATGGTCCTCCAAGCTACAAAAGCGCCGCTTACTCTCGCTCGTTGGATATCTTGCCGATGAACTCGCCCGATTCGCTGAAGTCCGATGTGAGAGGATGGATGTGAAGACCTGACGCCTTTGGGCTACCGGACAGCTCGCCGAGCAGCTTGGTCACGGTGGCGAGTTGCTGAGGTGTCAGAATGTCCTGATGCTTGAAAAAGACTACGCCACGATGCGAGATGAGAATAGCAAGATCTCTCAGGATGTCTGCCGAGTTTGGCGCGTCGAGAATGTCAGCCAGTTGAACGGACGGATCGAATTCTGTGCCGATAGCGGGTGCCAAGTCCGAGCGAGGATAAACATGGGGGTCAAGTGCGCCGGAAGGTACCAGTGTGGCCGGAAAGCCTCGCTCGTCCACTTCCCTGCCGTCTTCGTCATAGCGTGGTTCGCAAGCACCTTCGCTGTTGACATTGATGGTCACACGATCAAAATCTGACTCGGTCGGCAGAGTGGCAGAATGACTGAGCGCTGTGGCAAATATCGGCGCAGGTCGACTGGGAGGCGGCGACCAGTCTCGACCGGTCAGTGCGAGTGTGTCTGCAAACAGCCGAGTGAGCATGATCTGATGTTGTGTTTACACAGTCAGCACTTACACGTCGATCGATAGGCCGGACTGGCATGGTCGAATGTTTGGGTCGTGGACGCATTGCGCAAGCTGCTCATAGTACGGATGACCATTATGGAGTCTTTTGCTGCTATCTGTAGGTTGCTTCTATCGCTGTCTGGGGCGTGAGCGAGCTGATCAGAGCGATTCGGAATTGAAGCACCTCGAAACGCGTGATATGCCGCCATTGTGGCTTACTAAGCCAACTGCGATCGACAGCGCGTGATCGCGTGATCAGCGCCCTGACTCTGACGTGGCAAGGCGCCCCTTGCGGGAGCCGGCTCTGCCATCAGGGGGATCTTACAGAACAGGCGAGCGGCCGGCGCATGACGCAGAGCAATGCACACAGCTTGCTCAGGACGACCGGTCTGACCCTAGTTGCCGTTTTCACCCTCGGGCCGTAGGCATTGACCGCCCTTCAGCGTGGACAAAGCTAAGGAGCGACCGACAGGCTTGCATACTATTCTTATACGGAGACCGTGCGACATACCGTCATCAGACGACGCAAGCGACGCTATGAATCAATTGTCAAGCGTATACACTCATCTGCCTCGGCCGAGTCGAGTGACGCGACACGAGCAGGCCCAGAGGAGCTCGAGGCAATACAGGAACGTTTTGCTCCCATCATCGCTGGCGGGCGATGGCACAATCCTTTTACAGAGTTCCGAGAGGAGGGCGCATGGGAATGGCTCGTATGGAAGCTTATCATCCAACCCCTCACGGGCAAGACAGGCTGGACAGGGGGCCTGAGCAGGGATGACGAGGAAACCGTCAAGAAAGCGCTGCCAGTCGAGCGACCAGACTTTCAGCTGCTGTTTGCGAATGACCCAGAGATGGCGTCAGACCTAGTCCACCTCGATCCTGACAACAGCAATCCAGGGCTAGCTCAGGATGACAAGATGGGCGGTAGCTGGGCACGTCTCTCCCAGACCGGCACGAGCAGTGCTGCGACAAGCAGAAGTCTGTCCGATGAGGGCGATCGCATAGCCGTGGAAAGGTTCAAAAGGTCTATCGCACCCGACGATGCGAAGATTACAGTCGGCAAGCGCATGACGGTCACCTGGTTCGGACAGTCTACGCTCTTTTGTCAATTAGACGGCGTCAACATCCTTACGGATCCCGTGTTTGGTCATCAGCCGCTGGACACCTTCTTGGCGCCCAAACGTATGCGGCCCCTCCCTTGTCCGATCACACACCTGCTCGCGGTTGATGTCTGTCTCGTCTCACACAACCACTTCGATCATCTTGATGCACGGGCAGTCGACTATCTAGGCAACAGCATTACCTGGGTCGTCCCACTTGGCCTGGGCGATTTCTTCAGACGGCGAGGCATACACACCGTGCGCGAACTGACATGGTGGCAGACGACGACACTCGAAGCAGACGGACGCCCGCCCATCGAGATTGTTTGCCTACCGACGATGCATTGGTCAGCGCGTACACCGCTTGACACGAACCAATCGCTCTGGTGCTCCTTTGCCGTCATCGGCTCTCGCGATCGCTTCTTCCATTGTGGCGATACTGGCTACTGTCCCGTCTTTGAAGCCATCGGTCGAGCCTACGGTCCCTTTACGCTAGCCGCTCTACCGATTGGAGCCTACGAGCCGAGATGGCATCTTTCACCGCAGCACGTTGATCCAGAAGGTGCTGTCAACATACACAGAGACATCCGAGCTCAGCGGTCCATTGGCGTTCATTGGGGAACTTGGTCCCTCTCTGATGAGTATTACGACGATCCGCCCAAGGATCTAGCAAGAGCCCGTGCAAAGCTGGGCATAGACAGCAAAGCATTTGATGTTGTTCCCGTCGGTCGGACCATTCGACTATAGAATGCAGAGGACAGTCACAAAGGCTTGAATCCTGCTCTAGCCCATCTTTACGCTCTTCGCAGCGCATCCTCGTAAGCTCATCCGACTGACGCTAGACGAACGAATATCCAGGCTTCGAATAGGGCTTTCTGCGCGTTGCTCATACGGCATTACGCAGTCTGGCGAACGACGAAATGCAGAATGTGCGGCTGTAGAGCAGACTGCAAGATGTGCGACCAAGACACGATCAACGCGAACCTTGGGCCGATCGACAGCATGGTGGATACCACAAAGTAGTCCCCGTGGAGTTGGCACGTGTCTGATGACTCAATATCACCACGCGTTTAAGCGCGTTATCAGCGAGATTGCATGAGTAAGCGCCTCGCAACTTCGGCCGACGCCGTTTACATATGAACTACATATCCTTCCTCGACGTGCCAATACTGTCTGCACCAAATGGCCCGGTTCGGCATCAAGAACAAGGAGGCGACTGCCGCTGTAATAGCGCAAGAGGCTCATCTTCCGCCCACTGAAGGAGTAAAGGACGATTCGTCGGAAGGCGTACCGCGTAGTGCTTCCCTCACCTCTGAGAAAGCAAACGAGCTCGAGAAGAATGTCAGCAATGGAGACGATGCCTACGACGCATCTGCACCTGCCTACCCAGGCAAAGCAAGACTGTCACTTATCATGCTTGGCGTCACCCTCTTTGTGTTTCTTGTCGCACTAGATCAGGTTCGACCGATTCCACGTTGTGCTTCTTGGACTTGCTGAACGCATCTGCAGGTCATCATTAGCACGGCAATCCCAAAGATCACGGATGATTTCCATTCCTTCAGCGACATTGGCTGGTACGGGAGCGCATATCTCTTGACCTCAACTGCACTCCAACCGCTCTTCGGCCGACTATACGCGTCCTTCCCGATCAAGACTATCATTTTACTCTCCTTGGGTATCTTCGAGGTCAGCTCATGATCGCTTCCATATCGTCGACTGTATCTGAAGCCCGGACAGCTCGGCTCCCTTATTTGTGCGGTCGCGCAAGACTCGAAGACATTCATCGTAGGCAGAGCGATAGCTGGCAGCGGAATGGCTGGAGGTACGCACGCTGAGCTTGCGTTGATGCCAAGCTGACCCTCTGATCTCGCCTCACAGGCTACAGCGGTAGGCACCATCGAGAGCTCGACTGGTGGGCTAGTCTGATCCCGCACAAACAGGTTGCTTGATCATCATCTCACTGATCGCACCACTCGAGACGCGACCTCTTCTCACCTCGCTTGTCGGAGCGGTCTACGGCATCGGAGCGAGTATAGGTCCCCTGCTTGGCGGCGTCTTCACTTCCAAAGCTACTTGGAGTAAGCCAGAGCCCTCACGACATTCGCCAAGCTGAACAGGGGTTTAGGGTGGTGCTTCTTCGTAAATTTGCCGATCGGTGGCATCACCGCAGCTGTCATTCTCTTCTTCCTCAGCGTGCCCAAACGTCCACATGAATTCTCTGCAATTCAGCGCCTCAAGCGAATCGATTGGCAAGGCACCGTATTGGCCCTTGCATCAATTGTATGTCTCCTGCTGGTCTGTCAAAATGGTGGCGTCAAACAAGGATGGTCATGGGGCTCTTCTCGCACTGTCGGCTTGATCGTCGGATGTGTCGCCATCGCTGCCGTCTTCGCGGTCGATCAGGTCTGGATGGGAGAACGCGCCACCTTGGTGCCACGGATCTGCAAGCAGCGCACCATCGCATTCGGATCCGTCGTCAACTTCTGCATAGGCGCATCTTACTTCTCGCTCTTATACTTCTTGCCGCTGTATTTCCAAGCCGTCAGAGGTTCATCGGCCATTAGATCAGGTGTCCAGAATCTGCCCTTCATCATCGCGGTCATTCTAGCCGTGACTGTGTCAGGCGGGTTGACGAATAAGTACGGGTGGTATATGCCGTGGATATTCGGAGGCACGGCCATGCTTGCTATCGGCGCCGGAACGCTGTACACCTTCACGCCGACGACTTCGACTGCTCAATGGGCTGGTCTTCAGTTTCTAGCCGGTCTCGGACCCGGCGTGGCTTTCATGCAGCCGTTCCTCGCATCGCAGTGCGTACTGGAGCTCCGAGATCTCGAATTGGGATCTGCTATCGTCATCTTCAGTCAGACGTTGGGTGGCGCTGTTTTTGTCAGTGTCGCTCAAGCAATCTTCCAGAACAGATTCGTCGTCGGCCTCAGAGACGTACCTGGCGTGAACGTCGACAGCGTGCTGGCAGTAGGTGTCAGCGCGTTCCGTGAAGTGGTGCCTGCCGAGCTGCTGCCACCCGTCATCCTGAAGCTGCAGGCGGCACTGAACGACACTTGGCTCATCTCTGTAGCACTAGCCGGTGTAGCCTTCTTCGCGGCTTTCGGCATGGAGCGTGGTCACTCGGTACTAGATGCTCAGAAGGCTATGATGGCAGCATTGGCGCAGCCACAGAAAGAGCAAACTACAAAGACAGAAGATTAGGGCAGCGCGGGCACAGTGTATTGAACAGCAGATATCGAGGTGTGCTTATGGATTGCATTGCCCTATTCGTCGATAGTCATGACGTGAGGACACTCTAAATGAGACTCATTCGTCGACAGTCGCCATATGAGGACACTCCGAGTGTGAGTGCGTGCCGGTGCTAGCTGATTCAATGCTCTCTGAGCGCTGAGGTGGCAATACCGAGCGCGCTATGAGGCCTTGGCTATGCGACGCGCTGACTTTGCGCTCTGCCAGGGAAGCACGCAGTGCCCGCGCGAATGCTCGCAAGAGGGGCTCTCGAGCCTGCTACGAGACTCGCAACACATCCATGGCAGTGAGTTAAAAGTGCTCGAATCCTGCTGCGGCTGATGTCGCAATCAGGTCTGTCCAACAGGCTGTATGTACAGACGATGCTGAG